TGGTTAATGGTAGTTTTGAGAAACAATTTAACATGTTTTATGATGAAGGGGTTTTATGAATCTATATTTTAATAGTATGTGATTTTTGCTTAACTTTAGTTTCTTACCGTTATGGAGTAAATTATTTAGCAGTCAATTATCGATAATAAAGTTGTACGTTTAATACTATAGATTGCTATCATTGTTGATTTTTAACATTATCGATAAAAAATGAAAGATATAAGAGTGCAATAAATAGAGAGAAATACTTTCATTTATTCAGACTACATTCATGTTACACATTTCCAAAAAGCAAACACCAAAAATAAACCACACAATACAGTTTTTAGGCGTTTTTCTTTTTCTTCTGCCAAAAATCTAACTTTTCTTTTAGTTGATCTCTATCTCTTTCAGCATCTTTTAGCACTACTTTCAAGTGATTCCTCTGCTCTTCGACTTCTTTTAAGAAAGTCATTAGCAGATCTCTATTTTCTTCGGATTCCCGTAGCTTTGTTAATAATTCAAATGTGGCAACGCCTTGAAAATTTTATGGGCTACTCGTTGATGATTCATTTTCAAGCCACCTAAAAAATGAGCATATGCCAACTACACAATTAAAGAATTGTTGACCTAGATTTGTATCAGTGTGTGATGTCCTGAACATAGCTGGATTACCACAATGACAATTGTAACACTTTTTTTCTTTGGATGTTTGAGATGTATGAGACATTGTAAAAATTGAGATGTTTGAGTTGTTTATGAGGGATTGCTTTCCTTTTATACTAAAAAATAACCAGATGTTCCGTTGAAAAAGTGCAATTTGAACTTCTTTTACCGTTGTAAAATTTATATATGTAAATATTTACTGGTTATCAAAATATATAGACCCTTTATACAATCGATGCATCTCTATGTGCTTGGTGTATGAATCACTAATGAGATTTACACTTTGACATTAGTAAGGTATATTCAGGTTTATATCTATTTTAAAGCATTGTCGATATTTCACCTACTAGAATCTGACACTTATATGTAGACCAAAACTAGTAGAATTTAGAAAAGACAATAATTAATTAATAATAAATTATATTTTTGAAGTTTATCAAATCAAATGAGTTTAAACAAGTCATATGATCATGTAAGAGTCCACATAAATTGGGTGTGGTGATTAGAGATGTATGAGGAAGAGTTGTGGTTATACAATCAACATCCTTATAACAATGTTTGAGAAAGCACAAGTATGATGTAAGGATGTAACTTGTTGTGTGTGGCTATACAATCAACATCTTTAGAACATAAGCATGTGATCATGTATGAGTCTACATAAATTGGGGTTGCAATCAACAATGTGTGGTTAAACAAGTTATATCCTCACAACATACTTATGCTTTTTCAAACAGTGTTCTAAGGATGTTGATTGTATAACCACAACTCTTCTTCATACATCTCTAATCACCACACCCAATTTATGTGGACTCTTACATGATCATATAACTTGTTTAAACTCATTTAATTTGATAAATTTCAAAAATATAATTTATTATTAATAATTTTTTGTCTTTTCTAAATTTTACTAGTTTTGGTCTATATATAAGTGTCATATTCTAGTAGGTGAAGTATCGACTATGCTTTAAAATAGATATAAACCCGAATATACCTTACTAATGTCAGAGTGTAAATCTCATTGGTCATTCATACACCAAGCACATAGAGATGCATTGATTGTATAAAGGATCTATATATTTTGATAACCAATAAATATTTACATATACAAATTTTACAATGGTAACATCTAATTTTTTGATAATTCTTTTAGGATTCGTTTGATAGAGTGTATATGCAAATAATGCTTGTATTAGTTATACTTAGATCATTGCATTAAAATTATACTCTAATTCTTGCATTAAAATCATTGCATTACGAATACCATGAATTTTCATCTATTAATAGTTTTCATATATTAATAATACACAACTTAATACACAATGAGTGGACTCGATAATAAATATTAATAGACATTGTGCAAAATGTATGTCATCTTTTGATTGATCTATATTAGATCATGAGTAATTACGATAATAGCAATTGACCGAAATTGTCACACCCCTAACTAGAAAGGGGCAGACATCTAGGATATACACAAGCACCTGCTAAATATCTTACTAATCTCATGCCAAAGCTGAAGATTCATAAGCAGCGGAACCTATATGAAGACACATACTAAAACATAGATAACAAAAGGGACCTGTTAGGGCTACTTACAATGGAAGCAAGACTAAGTCTACGAAGCCTCTAAAGAGTATGCCTCTGAGAATCTGATAACTAATCGGGACAGGGCCCCAACATACCCATTCTGATATATGTACATACGTAGCAAAATATAGGCTCTAAATATCTGATAGCTCCAGGTAGAGGTGGAGCTTACCAACTGTTAAACTGGAAGTCTCTAGTCTACTGAAAATGCTTGTTGTCCTGAGCACCTGAGCCTGTAGTGATACAAATGAAACGCCAAAACAATAGGGACGTCAGTACATATAAAACATGTACTAGTATGTACAGCAAACTGAATAACAAGTAGACATCAAATATCATGATAGGCAAATTTGAGCATGGGTATGTAGGAGACATAATCCGTAACTGGAATTGTGACCAACCTCAAGGGTCCTCATCAAACGTTTCATGTCTTAGTCATTTATATATACATAATCCCTATAATTTGCCTAAGTGATATCTTTACTTCATTATATCGCTTCTTTGCTCTTTGTAAAGCTAACTGTCAGGGAATCACATGATGGCTTATTGGCGGTGATTAGTGAATCTTGTATGGCATCTGTAGCCCACTGTCACGACCACGCGTGAAATCTCATAGTTTGGTAACGAGGTCAATCAAGGTACGCCCCCCAGGGCTCCTGCATGGTCTGCCCGCAGGCCTGTATAAGTCAGGTGAATCCACGACGGGAAATTCCAACTGACTATATCTGAATTTTGTGCACAGAGTAGCGTCGCACGTAGTTGCCCTAAATATACCCACCCTACGCTGCAGAGTAGTCTATAATCTCAACTGCTTGCAATTATTATAATAATTAATTCATTTAATCACATAGCTCGTGATACAATTCGTGATTACATTCTTTAGCTTGAGAATCATATATCTTGTGACCTATGCACTTACGAACAGTCTGTGGCTGGTTGCTTTTACTTTTAAAATTTTATGCAACATGTACACCGCTAACTTCTAAGAGTTTCCCAACTATAGACAAATGTAGTTGTGTGAAAACGTATTGCTTCCTTGAAGAGTACTATAACTCTATAGGTTTAGGACTCAACATGAGAGGGTTTAGAAATAGGATAACTTTCTTTCAAGTATCATAGAATCTATAGTGACATTTATCGGAAGAACACGTGAGTTTAGGTCGTGCCTTAAGGGCAAAAGAGGTTTTATCTTTACATACCTTAATTCGGGACTTACTATCTAACGTTGTCAAACTCCCTTGCTGAAAACTTTATCTATAACATAAAATCATAAAATGATAGTATAAGAAACTAATCAAGAGTCACAACAATGCCAAAATCACAATAATGGTTCGCGAGCGACAATCTCAACAATTATCATAGATGAGTGGTGTATCACCACACCCTTATCTTTCTCTACTTTCCAAGCAGGCTTATGACTTATTTACATGTTCAATATTACTCCTCATCCTTTAACCATAAAGAACCAGCCCCCTTAATCATCCACACTTAACATAAAAGTAAAACCCATGGCCTCCGATCACCATCCCAACGGTTCCTTGTTAACGATGTCAAATTCCTTTATAAACTCATAGTTTAAGTTGGTATAGAACTAATGCAATAAATTAAAATAATAGGAGCTCATATAACTAGCTACAACATATTCCTAGCGACTTAGGAATTTCATCAAACACTTGGTGAGAGACAAAGTTTCAAGAACTATAATAGTCGTATTCTCCATACCTCACCATCCGTTTTAATGTAATCATCTTACTTCCCCAATACAATACCATTGACCCCTCATTTGGTCAAAACAACAGCCAACGCAGCCTTCTACAAACTCCCTCCTCACCAAAACATCAAATACAATGGGTAAAACATGGACTCACGGCTTCCTATCACCGTCCCGTGAGTCCTACCCGCAAATTATACTTAAAGCATCCTTGGAATACTATTTATGAAGATAGAAGAGGATTCATACCTATATATCCAAGAAAAGCAACCCCTGCGCTTCTTTATTCTCCAAGAACAATACTTTTTTCCTTCAAGAAAACATTTAGCTAAGTATAACTATAGGTCTATGGAGAGGAAGACACTTGATTCTTGAAGAAACCAACTTACCTTAAGCTTTAG